ACATCGGATCTATGGAAATGGGGCAGGGCGGGTTCAGGTTTAGGTTTTAGGGTTTAGGGTGTAGCATTTATAGGGGTTTGGGGTTCAGGGCCTGCCCTACAGGGGGGTCATAAGCAAGCACCGCGTAATCCGATTTCTAGGAACCTTCCAAGATTCATGGGTTCCACTACGACCGACCCCCCCTCTATACCACCCCGCCTAGGTTCCCTCATAATTAAGGAGGGTATTTAGGGATAATTACGTCCAATTATGGTTATTTAAGGGGGGAATTTGGGGGGCGGGGGGGGGTTGTGTAGAGGGCGGGGGAGGGGGGGTGTGGTCGGGAAACTCATGAAAGTTAGGTACCCTTAATTCAAAAAGGGCTATGTGTTCGGGCTTCCTTGTGAGCAAAGCCGAAACCCTATACCCTCCCTAAACGCTGAACCCAAAACCTCAAACCCTGAACCTAAACCCAAAACCCCATGCCGAAGCCAAGATGATCAGGATTGAACTCGCTGAGCCTTTTGCCACCCGAAACCCTAAACCCTAAATCCTAAAGCTCTCAAACCCCAAAAATCTCAAAACCCAAGTCCCGGACGCTCGAAAACCCCAAGCCTTCATGCGCGTAAAGCCCTAAGCCCCCAAACACCAACTCCCCTAAAACGCCCTAAGCCCCTAATCCCCCCTACACCCCCTTTAAACCTCAACCCTAGACCCTAAAAAACCCTTTAACCCTAAGCAGGCTAGAACGCCTATACCAACACCAAGACCCGAAGCTAGGCTGCCCAGTGCCTGGGAGCAAAAAGAACTTTAACCCTAAACCTCTTGGCAGCGGCAGCAACACCAGAGCCCCCCCTCCTAGAGTTTAGGGATCAGGGTTCAGGGTTCAGGGTTTAGGGTTTAGGGTTTAGGGTTTAGGGTTTAGGGTACACCCCCTCCCCCCCTCCCTCGCCCCGGGTGGTGGCCTGCGCATTTGTGTGGTCCGGCGCCGAGAAGATCGAGTACATCTTGGCTTTTCGAGCTTAGGAAGGGTTTAGGGTTTAGGGTTTAGGGTTTAGGGTTTAGGGTTTAGGGTTTAGGATTGAGGGTCTAGGGTTTAGGGCTTAGGGTCTAGGGTCTAGGATTTAGGGTTTAGGGTTAGGGGCTTTAGGGCTTTTTAGGGTGTAGGTCTTCGCCTAGTGGATGCAGTTTGTTTGGGCCAGGAGATTTAGGGTCTTGGAGTTTACGCGCCATTCTTCAGGGGGGTTTAGAACTCCGACTTCAAAGCTTTTTCTTGGAGATTAGGGATCCCAGGCTTCCACCCGAAGGGTTTAAGGTTTAAAAGTTTAGGGTTTAGGGTTTAGGGTTTAGGGTTTAGGGGCCCGAAACCCTAAGCCCTAAACCCTAACCTCACCAAAAGAGAGTAAGGGGAACTGCTGGGCGGCCAAGGTGCCTAGTGCCGTATATGAAACGCCCAGAACTGGGGTTCAGGGTTTAGGGTTTGGGGTTTAGAGTTTGGGGTTTGGGGTTTAGGGTTTGGGGTTTAGGGTTTGGGGTTTGGGGCTTTAGGGCAAAAACCTCGCGTCTGCAATGATGCCGAGGCACGTTGTTGGTGGTTTTGAACCTCTCGGGATCCGACATGGTGTGGCTGCAGAGCGGCACCTTAGGGTTTCGGGCTTTGGGTGGCCTTGTATCGGGCCACTTGAGGATTTGCTTAGGGTTTAGGGTTTAGGGTTTAGGGTTTAGGGTTTAGGGTTTAGGGTTTAGGGTTTAGGGTTTAGGGTTTAGGGCTTAGGGTTTAGGGTTTAGGGTTTAGGGCTGAAGTATGGCTTCGTTCCAAAAGATACTGAGCAGGGGGACCCTCAATGAAGACAACCAGGGTTTCGGCTATCTCAGTTTTTGGGACTCGAGCGTTTAGGCCGGGGGTGTTGAGGGCTTAGGGTTTGGGGTATAGGGTTTAGGCTTCAAACCCTGAATGCTAAACCCAAAGCCGGAAGGATCTAGGGTGCTTACTGTTTAGGGGGGGTCGGAGCTAAAGTTTTTCCACATCCGCGTGCACAAGAAGGTTCAAAGCTTACAGTAGGGCTTATGGCTTGGAGTCTGCTTGAAATTCCGGTGTACTTCTAGGTACTTCAGTGATGGTTTAGAGGGTTTAGGGTTTATGGTTTCGGGCTCAAGGTTTAGGGAGAAGCCATAGTGCCATGCGTGTTCAGGACCTGAGTCACACGAAGACACGCACTCACAATGCATCAAAGGATTGAACAGCAAACCTTAAACCCTAAGACCCTCAACCCTCAACCCTCAACCCTCACCCTAAACCCTAAACCCAATACACTACTAAAGCCTAAACCCTAAACCTTAAACCCTATCCCTAAACCCTAAACCTTGCCGCCCAACCATGCCGAGTTCTTCACGCCCCTATCGGCTGTCGCGCTCTCCGCGACATGCCGAACTGCTGCAGGAGCCTCGATATGCCGCCATTGGAGGCCAGGAAGTCTGTGGTGGAACTGATGATGCTTTCTTTGTGTTCGCTGCTGCACTGGCAATTCTGCATGCCGCCGGTGCGCCTGAAGTGATGCCGCGGCAACAGTCGTGCACGGTCGACTCGACCACACCCTAAACCCTGAACCCTGAACCCTAAACCCTAAACCCTAAACCCTAAACCCTATGGACCACTGCCAGGCCCAAGGTGCATTGCTGGAGCCACGGAGGCACTCAGAAGTGATGCGGCGGGTATAAGGACACCGGACACCCAAGTAGGCTTAGGGCTTTAGGCTTTAGGCTTTAGGCTTTAGGCTTCAGGCTTTAGGGTTTAGGGTCTAAGATTTCGAACCTCCTGACGGCAAGCCCTATAAACCCAAAGCCTCAGACCCTAATACCCTAAACTCATTGAACCCCGGTTGTACTACACGACAACGGAAACACGAAACCCTAAGCCCTCAATCCCCCCCCCCCCCCCCAGCCCGTGAGGCAACGACGCTTGGCTCCGCAACGTGGCGCGTGTCGGGGTAGATCTCAGTCACAATACTTTGATTGTGGATGGGTAGTTCTGGAGTTTAGGGTTCAGGGTTTAGGTTCAGGGTTTAGGGTTCAGGGTTTAGGGTTTGGGGTTTAGGGCTTGGGGTCTACTTGCAGGTTCGTGTGCACCTCCATGGAGACCCATGCAAAGTAATGAGATCAAGGCTGCCCTAAACCCTAAACCCTAAACCCCAAACCCTAAACCCTAAACCCTAAACCCTGAACCTTAAACCCTAAACCCTAAACCCCAAACCCTGACTAAACCCTAAACCCCGCCGGAGTTCGCTCGCCTGCGTGCCTACGGTGTTGCCTTGACTGCTGGCCGTGTGCTGCCAGTGCCTTACGTACTGGTCCTGAGTAGGGTTCAGGGTTTAGGGTTTAGGGCTTAGGGTTTAGGGTTTAGGGCTTAGGGTTTAGGGCTTAGGGTTTAGGGCTTAGGGTGGAGGGTTGAGGGTTTAGGGTGTAGCACCTTAATCTTTGGCGGCAAGGAAACGGAACCAGCTCCAAGTACCCTAAACCCTAAACCCTCATATCCGCGGGTCGATTGGCAGGGTTTAGGGTTTAGGGTTTAGGGTTTAGGGTTTAGGGTTTAGGGTTTAGGGTTTAGGGTTTAGGGTTTAGGGTTTAGGGTTTAGGGTTTAGGGCGCAAGCATAGGCTTGGTGTAAAGCTTTTGGGGCACAGGATTTGGGGCTTTTGGCGCTTAAGGGTTCAGGTCTTTTCTCGAAACGATAACAGCAACCCCTGAACCCGTTGTAAGCCGGGTTTAGGGCTTAGGGTTTAGAGTTAGGGTTTAGGGTTTAGGGTTTAGAGTTTAGGGTTTAGGGTTTAGGGTTTAGGGTTTAGGGTTTAGTATAGGCCTAACACCCCCGAGCGGCCAAAAAACAGCCCGCAACTGGGCGCCATGCCGTCATCCCGAAGCGAGTTTTCGGAAGCGCTGTGTAGATCTCAGACCTGGGCGGTCATGATTTTGGTTTAGGGTTTAGGGTTTAGGGTTTAGGGTTTAGGGTTTAGGGTTTAGGGTTTAGGGTTTAGGGTTTAGGGTTTAGGGTTTAGGGTTTAGGGTTTAGGGTTTAGGGTTTAGGGTTTAGGGTTTAGGGTTCGGGGTTTAGGGTTTAGGGTTTAGGGTTTAGGGTTTAGGGTTAGGGTTTAGGGGTTTGAAAATTTGGGGTTTTGGGGCTTAGCATCTAGGGGGGCTGCATAGTCCAAGGATGACATGGTGCCAACCGGATGGGCTCTCCGGTGTGTTGGGGGAGCCATACAGGTCTAAACCCTAAACCCTAAACCCTAAACCCTAAACCCTAAACCCTAAACCCTAAACCCTTTGGTTTAGGGTGGGGGGGGATAGGGTTTCCAGGGCTTACGGGCTTCGGGTTTGGGACTTTGTGGCTTGGAAGCTCACATAGGAGGTGTTTCGGGTTTTGGGGCAAGGAGTTTGGGGCCTGGGAGTCTTTAAGGCCAGGAAGGCCTCTGTAAAATAATCCTTATAATGAGGCACTTGTATAAACCCAATAGTTTGGTTAGGGTTCAGACGAGTTTCGGCTTTCGGCTTTAGGGGCTTTAGGAGTTTAGGCTTCGGTGCAGGGATTTGGGGCTTTAAAGCTCGGGGTCTCGCAGCTTAGGAACTCGCGGTTTAGGGTTTCGGGTTTATGGTTTAGGGTTCAGAATTGCAATTTTGGGTTTCGGGTTTAGGGTGTTCAGCGTGATGGCTTTAGGTTCTCGTGTCGACGGACTCGGAGTCTATCTTCTGTGGGACCTTTTGTGCACGCCGTCCCGCATCTGTGAGACATCTGGCGACCGTTGGGCTGGCCCCTAAACCCTAAACCCTAAACCCTCTTAAAACCATGCAGAGCACAGGGTTTAGGATTTCGGGCCACCGGTTGCAGGGTTCGGGGTTTAGGATTTGGGGCTTATATTGGTTTGGGGGGGACTTGGGTTTAGAGTCCAGGCTTTAGGGGTTTAGGGGTTTAGGGGTTTAGGGCTTACAATCTAGGGTTTCCGGGAAGATGGCCGCCGCCGAACTCCGCTACAGCTCTCCGGTTGCCAGCGGCCGCCTCTGGTCCATGGGGTTTCCATCTGCGTGCAGCCCTCCTGCACGCGGCTGAGGAGTTGTAAGGAACACGAGAACTCCAGGGTTTGAGGGTTAAGGGTTTAGGGTTTAGGGCTAGGGTTTAGGGTTTAGGGTTTAGGGTTTAGGGTTTAGGGTTTAGGGTTTAGGGTTTAGGGTTTAGGGTTTAGGGTTTAGGGTTTAGGGTTTAGGGTTTAGGGTTTAGGGTTTAGGGTTTAGGGTTTAGGGTTTAGGGCTAGGGCTTGAAGCTTCAGGGTGTTATGGTTGAGGATTTAGGGTTTAGGGTTCAGGCTAGGGCTTTGCTAGGGTCTAGGGCTCAGGGCATGAAGCTTCAGGGTGTTATGGTTGAGGATTTTTCAGGGCCGTATAGGTCTTAGAGCTTAGTTCAGGCTTCGCCCTCCTAAAACTTCTAGGTGCTTTGCTATCCTCAAAGCCTGATACCCTACACCCTAAAACCCCAAAAAACCCCAAAACCCTAAAACCCTAAACCCTGAAACCTTAAACCCTAAACCCTCAACCCTGAACTTGAACTGCAGAGACCGAGCCAAACCCCAAAGAACAGGTGTAGGAGTTGAGTTTAGGCTGGGCCTCCAGGGCGGAGGTAGGGTTTAGGGTTTAGGACTTAGGGTTTAGGGTTTAGGGTTTAGGGTTTAGGGTTTAGGGTTTAGGGTTTAGGGTTTAGGGTGTAGGATTGAGGGTTGAGGGTTCATGGTTTAGGGTTCAGGCGTGGCGCTGCAGGAGACTACCTAGACCCCAAGAGCAACCTAGTTATGAAAAGGTACCCTTTTTGGGTTAAAGGAAACCCTAAACCCTAAACCCTAAACCCTACACCCTAAACCCTAAACTCCTCAATCCTAAACACTACAGCTTAAGTTGGGGGATCAACTGCTTCGGGCTGAGGCAGCTTCACCACCCAAGCTATTGTCTAGGGTTTCTATCTTGGACCCTTAAGGTTGTACTCTTGGGTGTTGGGGGCTTAGGGTTTAGGGCTTCGGGTTTAGGGCTTCTTCAATATCCTTAAGGTAGTCTAAGGGCCATGTTAGCAGTATATTGAAAGCATATTGAGGGGAACTTTTCGGGGTACAACCCTTAATCCCTTGATGTTTCCCAACCACCAGGGGTCACTCCGCGGGGTCCACAGGTTTAGGGATATAGGGTTTAGGGTTTAGGGATATAGGGTTTAGGGATATAGGGTTTAGGGTTTAGGGATATAGGGTTTCGATTTGAATAGTGATAGAAGTCCACAGTAAGCACTAAACCCTAAACCCTAAACCCTGAACCCTAAACCCTATATCCCTAAACCCGATTCCTTGCAGCCTATAAGCCCTAATCCCCACACTCTTTGAGCCCAGGTCCTGCCAGCCACAAGGGCTTCAGCGTGCTGGGAATGTCCTCCAAGCGGTTGCCATCCACCATCAAGGCCTTCGAGGGTTTAGGGTGTAGGGTTTAGGGGTTTAGGGGTTTAGGGTTTAGGGGTTTAGGGGTTTAGGGTTTAGGGTTTGGGGTTTAGGGTTTGGGGTTCAGGGTTTGGGGTTTAGGGTTTAAGGTTGAGGGCTTGGGGTTTAGGGTTTGGGGTTAGGGTTTAGGGTTTGGGGGTTTAGGGTTCAAGGTTTGGGGTTTAGGGGTTTAGGGTTTAGGGTTTGGGGTTTAGGGGCTGGGGTTTGGGGTTTGGGGGTTGGGGGTTGGGGGTTGGGGGTTGGGGGTTGGGGGTTGGGGGTTGGGGGATTGGGGTTTAGGCGTTGTTAGGGGTTTAGGGCTTGGGTTGTTAGGGTTTAGGGTTTAGGGTTTAGGGTTTAGGGTTTAGGGTTTAGGGTTTAGGGTTTAGGGTTAGGGTTTAGGGTTTAGGGTTTAGGGTAGATTGAGCAATAAGGGCTGGCAGTGCACTGGAGCTGGCGAACGAGATCTGGGGGAGCCCAATTTCAAAACCCCTTTGTGAAGAAAGACGCCTTGAAGTATGAGAGCACCAGCAATCCACAAGAGACCCAAACTCTAAACCCTAAACCCTAAACCCTAAACCCTAAACCCTAAACTCTAAACCCCAAACCCCAAACCCCTTCAGCTTGAAGCGACAACCCCAACAGTCAACCCGAAAACCACAAAACCTGAAGCCACTCAGGGCATCATACAAGACAAGTTCAGGGTTCAGGGTTTAGGGTTCAGGGTTCGGGGTTTCAGGGTTTAGGGTTTAGGGTTTAAACGCTAAACCCTAAACCCTAAACCCTAAACCCTAAACCCTAAACCCTAACATACTGTCTGCCATATGCTGGAGTTGTCGAACATGGCCGCGATCTGCGCCAAGGTGGCGGTGTCCTGGGGCCCAGGTCCGCGCTCACCCTGTGGAGGTACTCGCGGACCCCGTCAAAATTCAGGGGTTTGGGGTTTAGGGTTTCGGTTTAGGGTTTAGGGTTTAGGGTTTAGGGTTTAGGGTTTAGGGTTTAGGGTTTAGGGTTTAGGGTTTAGGGTTTAGGGTTTAGGGTTTAGGGTTTAGGGTTTAGGGTTTAGGGTTTAGGCAATCCTGTTCGTGGTGGCACGGATGCCGTGCCTGTCAGTGCCGTTGGTTCCGGAGATCCCGGCATGAAGAGCGAGAGGTCCGGGAGTATCAACAGGTGCTTTAGGGTTTAGGCTTTAGGGTTTAGGGTTTAGGGTTCAGGGTTCAGGGTTTAGGGTTTAGGGGAAAGACTGGGTCAGGAAGATGTCGGTGTGGAACCCGTGGACGCCGACCAGCTCTGTGCCGCGGTTCGGCATCCCTGAACCACCTCACCGCGTGCTCGGAGGCCTTCACCAACTCGTTGCTTTTTTTGGTGCGCGTCGCCACCTCGCTCCAGAAAGCCTTGGTGGCAGACCTGACCACCCCCTTGATGTCGCGTCCATGTGCATCTGGTGGACGTACGGTTTATAGTTTAGGGCTTAAGGTTTTTGAACCCCAAACCTGAAAAACACTTACCCTCCACGACCCACAACCCCCGACCCCCAAACCCTAAACCCTAAACCATCAAGATCAGAATAAGAGGCAACTGTATGCAATTCACTTCGAACCTGAGGTCACAACATGCTTAAGATTAAAGTGCAACCGAACACCCAAACACCCTACCACCCAAAAGCCCCAAGCCCTGAAACCCTAAAGGCCTTTAAACCCTAAAACCCTGAACAGCTAACCCCTAAACCCGAAAACCCGAAACCTAAAACCCTAAAACCCCAAAAACCTAGACCATAAATGCAGGACTAAAACCCTAAAACCCTGAAAAGCCCTAAACCCCTGTAACCCTAAACCCTAAACCCTAGACCCCCAAAGCCCCAAAGCCCCAAAGCCCTAAAGCCCTCAAGCCCCAAAGCCCCAAAGCCCCAAAGCCCCAAAGCCCCAAAGCCCTAAAGCCCTAAAGCCCGAAATCCCTAAAGCCCGAAAGCCCTAAAGCCCTAAAGCCCGAAAGCCCGAAATCCCTAAAGCCCTAAAGCCCTGAAGCCTAAACCCCTAAGCCATAAAGCCCTAAAGCCCGAAAGCCCTAAAGCCCAAAGCCCTAAAGCCCCAAATCCCTAAAGCCCTAAAGCCCGAAATCCCTAAAGCCCGAAAGCCCTAAAGTCCTAAAGCCCGAAAGCCCTAAAGCCCTAAAGCCCGAAAGCCCGAAAGCCCGAAACCCCTAAAGCCTAAACCCCTAAGCCATGAAGCCCTAAAGCCCGAAAGCCCTAAAGCCCTAAAGCCCGAAAGCCCTAAAGTCCTAAGCCCTAAACCCTAAACCCTAAACCCTAACCCCCAAACCCTAAACCCTAAACCCTAAACCCTAAGCCCTAAGCCCTAAGCCCTAAGCCCTAAGCCCTAAACCGAGGAGGCAGGCCTTCAGGCCCGCCAGGTGGCCCAACTCTTCGGGCAAAGCCGTGAGCCTGCGGGGTCTTAGGGGTTTAGGGTTTAGGGTTTAGGGTTTAGGGGTTAGGGGTTAGGGTTTAGGGTTTAGGGTTTAGGGTTTAGGGTTTAGGGTTTAGGGTTTAGGGTTGAGCTCATCATCACCCGCTGTCGCGTCATCCCCCGTGATCCACTGGTGCGGAGCCGACCGCGCGAGCGAGGTTTAGGCCCCAGCAGGTCGGCCTGTGCCGGAGCGACCCGGTGGCACAATGGTCTGCACACGCCACAGGTTTAGGGATATAGGGACATAGGGTTTGGGGTTTAGTGATTTAGGGGTTTGGTGATTTAGGGATATAGGGACATAGGGTTTAGGGTTTAGTGATATAGGGTTTAGGGGTTTGGGGGGTTTAGGGTTTAGGGATAGGGTTTGGGGTTCAGTACTGGGTTTCGAGAAATAGGGTTTGGGGTTTATGGCTTGGGGATGATGGGTTTAGGGATATAGGGTTTAGGGTTTAGGTTTGGAGTTTAGGGTTTAGGGATATGGGGATTTAGGGTTTAGGGATGCAGGAACTTGTTTTGGGTAGGGTTTAGGGATACAGCGTTTCGGTTTGGGGTTTAGGGTTTAGGGATGTAGGGGGTTAGGGTCTAGGGATATAGGGATTAGAAGTTAGGGTTTGGGAATTTGGGGTTTAGGGTTTGGGGATTTTAGTGGTTTCAAGGGGTTGGGGTGTACAGGGTTTGGTGGTTTGGGATTTGAGCGGTTTGGCTTTACGCTTAGGGGTGTTTAGGGTTTAGGGTCTAAGGGCATAAAGGCGCATTCAGGGGTTGTTTTTGGCTATCGGCACAATCCGAACCCTTGCGACATCTACAGCTTGGGGAATTTATATGGCTGGAAGTTGACTCTTCTGCGCGTAGGGTCTGGGCATAGCTTGCTTTATAGACCTTAGGGTTTTGTGTTGATGTGTTCATCCAAGGATTAAGGTTTAGGTTTCAAGGTTTAAGGCTTAAGGTTTTGCTTTCGCTTTATACACAGATTAAGTTTTAGGGCTTCGTTTTTGTAAAGGGTTGAGGGTTGAAGGTTTAGGGTTTAGGGTCAGGACCCAGGGGGCTTGTAGTGAACCTTTGTGTCCGTGAGAGTTCACGGGCTTTAGGGTTTAGGGTTTAGGGTTTAGGGTTTGAGATGTAGAAGTTGGGTTCTTAGGTTCGTCCTTCGTCGGCACCTTCGCAATAGAATGGGGCCATTTTCTTGCCAGGTATTCTGTGGCTGCCCTTCTCCATGTGGCGTTTGACATCTGTGCCCTTGCCGAAGTTGTCACTGCCAGCCACCAACAGCGCATCGTTCAGACGGACTTCACCACCACGAGTGTTAAGATGCCGGGCTGCGGCTGATGATCAAAAACCGCCGCGCAAAGTGCGCTGTGTGTCTGTGTGTCTCTGTGTGTGTTGTTCGGTTTCGATTTTCAGGGCTTAAGGCAGTTGTCTAGGATGGCCTTTCAAACCCTGTGACAAATACTCCTAAAACATCTCCCAAATCCAAGTAAAGAAAATAGCAAATGTCCCTAAACCCTAAACCCTAAACCCTAAACCCTAAACCCTAAACCCTAAACTCTAAACCCTGAACCCTAAACCCTATATCCTAAACCCTAAACCCTACACTTGCAATGGCTGTCAGCCAGATGCCCTAAAGAGCCCACTACCCCTTAAATAAGGAAGATACCGTAAATTACATGAAGGATCCCTACAGACATTTTCAAGGTATATTTAAATAAGGAATATAACTTCATTTTCAAGATCCCTGCAGAATTTCAGGTATCTTCACCAAACAAGGGGTTTTGGGCTTTTAAATAAGGAATAAATAAGGAATATACCTTCCAATCATATTAAAGATCCCTGCAGGATTTGAAGTATCTTCCCTAATCAAGGGGTTTTGGGCTTTTAAATAAGGAATATACCTTCAAATCATATTAAAGATCCCTGCAGGACTTGAACGTATCTTCCCTAATCGGGTTTTGGGCTCAGTTGCATGCCTGTTGCCCACGAGGTTCAGGCGGCGCATCTTCCGTAGCCGCCGAATTCCTGAGGTTGTGTTTAGGGTTTAGGGTTTAGGGTTTAGGGTTTAGGGTTTAGGGTTTAGGGTTTAGGGTTTGGCTATCGGCGCAATCCGAACCCCTTTTTGCGGCAATCTACGGCAAACCTTGCCAGGCAGACGGCCCTTTAAGGGGATTCTATTGTACTTGGGGTATAAAACGGGTACTGCTACTTTGAGAAATGACTACTTAGTACCTTGTATGCTTGCTGGGTTCGGGGCTTTATCGTGTTCGCTCTTGGGTTTAGGGTTTAGGGCGTTTAGGGTTAGGGCTTAGTGCTCAGGCTTAAATGTTGAGGGTCTACTTGGTGGATTGGGGGACTTAGTGACTTGGTGAGTATAGGAACCACGCAGAGTGAGAAGTACCCTAAAATGGGCCCCTAAATGAGGTTATAACTTAATAACCCTACTAAATAACGTAATCACATAACAACTGAATAAGCCTACTGAATATCCTTACTTAATAAGTTCATAACTTAATAGCCCTACTCAACCCTAATCAACAACCCCAAACTCAGTCCACTGATCTGGGAGGATCTACTTTCACAGCTCCTCCCAGAAGTCTGGCTTCTTGGTTTAGAACACCTAAACCCTGAACCCAAGATCGTTTGCTCGAGGAACGCCTGCCTTCATAGAACTGAGAAGACTTGTATTTCAACTGGTATTGCAATACTTCAAACCCTTCAGCTAGGCATCGTAACTTTCAGGGGTTGGGGTTTCGGGTCCAGAGCTTCTTCCTGCAACACCTGCGCTCCAAATGCTAAACTGGAAACCCAAGCCATCAACGTGAATCCCGCAATCCTCAACTAGGACCCCCCAACCCGAATGCCCTAAACCCTAAACCCTAAACCCTAAACCCTAAACCCTAAACCCTAAACCCTAAACCCGAATGCCCTACGGCCTGGATCCCGTGCTTCTGGCGTCTGAGCTTTTCGAATGCGTTTTGATTCAACACTACTTCGTTCTCTAAACTATGGTTCATGGGTTGCCCTACTACCCCCCTCTATACTGGTTAGCTTAGGGGTTTAGGGTTTAGGGTTTAGGGTTTAGGGTTTAGGGTTTAGGGTTTAGGGTTTAGGGTTTAGGGTTTGGGGTTTGGGGTTTGGGGTTTGGGGTTTGGGGTTTGGGGTTTTGAGTTTAGGGTTTAGGGCTACCCCCCCCTAGGTTCCCCCCTTAAATAACCTTAATTAAGCTTAACTATTCCTAAAATAGCCATGATCATGGGGGAAACCTAGTTTCGGGGTAGTATAGAGGGGGGTAGTAGGGGAACCCATGAATGGTCCTTTCCCATCACGATAAGGAGCCTGAATACTAGGGGCACCGACGACCATAATTCAGAGAACTGCCGAAAAATAGCCCTACTTGGAACTATACTGTACAGTACCGGGATTTGGGGTTTAGAGTTTAAGGTTTGGAGTTCAGGGTTTAGGGTTACGGTACCCTAACCCTAAACCCTAAACCCTAAACCGGGGATATTGTTTTTCTGACCCTCGAGGCTGTTTTTTTGGCCCCGCATTGGCTTTTCGCCCCTCCAGGTTGTTTTTTTGGCCCATTAAGGTTGTTGTTTCGCCCCCCCCCCCCCCCGGACACCCCCCCAGAGGTTGTTTTTTTTAACTCCCCCACTCCCCCCCCCCATTTGCAAACACAATGCTCGCATGATGGGTTTCATGAAAAAAAAAAGGTGCTTTGAAGCAAGTTTGCACGGCTTAAACAAGCGGGGGGGTTGGGGGGGGGCACACAAGACAAACATCAACAATCTCCGACTGATACGAATCGACCGTCTCGGGGCCAGGCGAGTTTGAACTTTGATTCTTCGAGTCCCGCGAATTGATTAAAGCTTCCCTGCGGGAAAAAGCAACATGCGCTTACATTGGCAATGGCTGACTTGCACCGGTCTCCACGTCAAAGACACTCCGACGCAATCCACAATGACAGGATCTTCGAAAGAGATGCGCAGCCTGCTGATAGGTTTCGTCTGTCAACCATTCTGTGGACGCAGACCTCAGCAGACAAGGAACATGTTGGGCTATGTTGGGCAACGTTGGGTTTGTCAGCATGGCGGTCTGCGCTTGGAGCTGAAAGTTCTTCTGGCGTGCTTCGGAGTCAAAGCAATCACATGACTCAGCAATTATACCAGCCTCGACCCCAAACGGCTCTTGAGGAGGGTGTTAGTTGCTTGTAGTGATGGGTTTTTTGAGGTCCTGGGAAGCCAAGTTGAGGGGCACTGCTTGCTTGGGAAACCAATCTGAAGAGTGTCAATTGCTTACGCTGATGGGCTTTTGGGGTCCTGGGAAGCCAAATTGAAGGGCACGGGTGTCTTACGCAGATGCGGTTTTGGGGCGCTGGGAAATCAAATTGATGGGGCCGGTTGCTTATGCTGATGGTTTTTTTTGGGTCCTGGGAAGCCAAATTGAAGGGCACAGGTTGCTTACGCAAATGCGGTTTTGGGGCGCTGGGAAATCAAATTGAAGGGGGCCGGTTGCTTATGCTGATGGGTTTTTTGGGGTCCTGGGAAGCCAAATTGAAGGGCACAGGTTGCTTACGCAGATGAGGTTTTGGGGCCTGAGAAACCAAATTGAAGGATGCAGGTTGCTCACACATGAGTCCTGGGAAGCCACATTGAAGGGCACAGGTTGCTTGTGCACATGCCGTTCTGAGACCCTGGGAAACCAATCAGAGGGTGCAGGTTGTTTACGCTGATGGGATTTTGGGGTCCTGGGAAGCCAAATTGAAGGACACAGGTTGCTTACAGTGATGCGGTTTTGGGGCCCTGAGAAACCAAATTGAAGGCTGGAGATTGCTTACGCTGTGGTCCGGGAAGCCAAATTGAAGGGCACAAGTTGCTTACGCAGATGCGGTTTTGGGGGCCTGGGAAACCAGAGGGCACAGGTTGCTTACGCAGATGCGGTTTTGGGGCACTGGGAAACCAAATTGAAGGGTGCAGATTGCTTACGCTGAAGGGCACAGGTTGCTTGTGCACATGCCGTTCTGAGACCCTGGGAAACCAATCAGAGGGTGCAGGTTGTTTACGCTGATGGGATTTTGGGGTCCTGGGAAGCCAAATTGAAGGACACAGGTTGCTTACAGTGATGCGGTTTTGGGGCCCTGAGAAACCAAATTGAAGGCTGCAGGTTGCTTACGCTGACGGTTTTTGGGGTCCTGGGAAGCCAAATTGAAGGGCACAGGTTGCTTACGCAGATGCGGTTTTGGGACCCTGGGAAACCAAATTGAAGGGGGCCGGTTGTTTATGCTGATGGGTTTTTGGGTCCTGGGAAGCCAAATTGAAGGGCACAGGTTGCTTACGCAGATGAGGTTTTGGGGCTTGAGAAACCAAATTGAAGGATGCAGGTTGCTTAGGCTGATGGGTTTGGGGGTCCTGGGAAGCCAAGTTCAGGGGCACAGGTTGCTTACGCAGATGCGGTTGTTTACGCTGATGGGATTTTGGGGTCCTGGGAAGGTTGCTTACGCAGATGCGGTTTTGGGCCTGGGAAACCAGTTAAAAGGTGCAGGTTGTTTACGCTGATGGGTTTTTGGGGTCCTGGGACTTGCGTCCCAAACAGGGCAGGACCAGTGCCATCTGTTGCGCAATCTATGCGTTCCGGGTTTGCAACTGTGCGGTTTGCTGTGTATGTTTGCCAGCTGCTGCACTGCCCTCAGCGAATTTGCCCACCGGTCACATGGACATCCAATAGCGAGCAGAACTTCGTTGCCTCACATGCTGACAGGAACCAAGGCCACGGCCCAGCCGGAGCATCCAATGCCTTTTCGTAGTGCAGGCCCTAATCGGTTTTGAGAAGCCTTTGGTTGCCCTTGCGGAACCTTTAAATGTTTTCTGGGGGCCATTTTCCCAAGTTGCCTTTCGAGAAATTCGTTCAGTAGATAGCGAGATGACGGAAGAATTGTAACCCACGGAAAATTCACAGTTGGCACCGTGCACCAACATCCCAGACACCGAGAGTGAAATCTTAGGTGATCCTTGTACTCCCATTTCCAGACTCTCTGCCAGCGTTCTGCTGCATGGTCGCCAGGTCAGGCCAAACATGAACTGCGCGCAGCCACTTCTATGATCTTCTATGTAGGACCCAGTTCTTGCGAATACGCTTTAAATGCAAAAGCACCGGCGTTTAAACAGATGTGTGGAACTGCAACACTATCGAAATAAAGTCGCCGCCTGCCAGGGCACCAATTCGCGCTCATCTGAAGAAGCCCAAGACCGAGCGCCAACCTGAAGCCCCAACGGTCAGACCCCGGATCAGCTAATAGCTCGAGCCCTAAAGTAATACGGTGGTCAGCCTCAACGATAAGAAATGGAAGAAGCATCATACAAACACAAGGCAAAGCAATACAAGCAAAAGAACAAGCATCGAAAGAACCAATGCGGCATGTGAGTTGTTGACCCATTCCCTTACACCACATTAAAAGGATTCGGGGCGACAAAACGAGGACACAAGTGACGCCACAGATATCTGCAGATGAGCTCGCGGCAATTTGCGCATCCGTCTTGAAGGAGGCCATTTCGTGTCCTGCTACCAGAAAAGCCCCAGCACAAATAACAATATTGATGACAGCCACCGGCAAGCGCTTGAGCCGTGAGCGGCGGCGCCAAAAAAAATCAAAAATTAGACATGCTTGCAAGCTGTGCCCACCACGCTGCTCTCAACACAATAAGCCAAGCACACTCCTTGCGGGTCACCTGCCAGATTACTCTGTAGTGCCTCGGCTACTTGTGCCTGATTAGTCGATGGTCCGGCGTGGGGTGTGGGTGCAAAATTCGGAAATTCACTCAGCGATGCTGCGTGATGGCATGAACAAGTCTCTTTCGTCAGACTCTGCGAATGCAGCTATTCGGCCAGCCCATGCTCTGGTGTCACGAGTTGACTTGTAGCGAGGTGAAAGATCAAGAGATGATGAAGAGTGATCGGCAACTTGCGATGCTGAGGCGCAGGTTGTTGGGAGATCCCCATTCGTGTAGTCCGTTTGAACATTTTCA